GCTTACGAACTGCAATCTCTTCTCCACTTAAAAAGTAATCCCTGCCCTTTCTCGGGTGCCCACCCCAGGGACCCGGCTGCAGCGTGAGAGAGGCCTTCCAGGTTGTTACTGTACCGTCTCCTCCTCCTGCCTAGGACTTAAATGGACGTGTGGAGTATCAGGTTGTGCAAAACAGGAACAGTGAGGCCACTTCCAGGCTTCAGGGGAAGGGATGTGGAGGGGAGACTGTTTTTTGCTTTGCTTTGCTTTGCTGATCGGTGAACAGCGCCAACGCTCTCCTGGCTAGGAATGCAGGATTTCTTCCCGCTCCCGGGCTTGGAAAAAGCCAGCATCAGCGGCTATGGGCTGATCTGAACTTCCCTTGCCGCCCTGACCTCCGTTCACGACTATCTCAACAGCAGTGATTCTCTGGCACAAAATGTGAAACTGACGAGGTCCTCTAGCTATATTTGAGCCGTCGGGGGGGGGGGGGGCACAGATAATTCATTTGGAACGCTGCAGTCTTGGCGTGCCTGGCTGCACACCGAGGCAGTACAGAAAGGCTCCGTTCCACACGTTCTTATCGGGTCCATATCTGGAGAAGCTGGGTGCCAACGTGGTCAGAGCTGAGTGCCTGAAGTTCAGGTCTGATCTAGCCCATTGCTACAACTGTATCCATCGGGCCACTGAACACCTGCTAAAAATCAGGCAGCTTCTAATTAGGAGTCTAACTGTAGCACTTGGGTTTGTTGTTTGGTTTTAGCATAAGTCTCTAACCCATTTATTACAAACAAATCACAGAATTGTAGACCACTAGGACTGGAAGGGACCTCGAGAGGTCATCAAGTCCAGTCCCCTGCCCTCACAGCAGGACCAAGCGCCGTCTAGATCATCCCTGACAGGTGTCTGTCCAACCTGCTCTTAAATATCCCCAGTGATGGAGATTCCACAACCTCCCTAGGCAACTTGTTCCTTGAATCCTCTCAGTGGGTCGTAGGAACATTTCAATTCAGTGAAGTCTCGGAGCGACTCCTTAAAGGTGGCTTTGCTTATGTCTTGCGAGGGCCGGCGCTAACTCTCCATCCCACGGATCTGAATGGCTGGATCGGGGCCTAAACTCCCTTGTGTGGCCTTGAGATAAAATCTTGCCTCAGATGCTGCATCTCTGGGGAGCGAGGGTCTGATCTTACCGGTCTGCTAGACAGCCAGAGATCAGCCAGTACAGCTTCGTGAATCCTCTAATTTTGCAGCGCAATTATTTCTCCTGGACTGCAACGTGCAAACAGAGGGCTGACTTCTAGCCACCATTCGAATACAAGAATTAAGACTAGATTTGGGCCAAGAAAACACTTGACATTGAAGATCACTCGTAGCCTTATAACGTTGCCTTGGATGATGATTGTATGACAGCAAGTGATGGGGTTTAACACATGGGGATTAGTCACTACATTATGGAGAGACTTTCTGACCTAGAGTACTGTAGACCGTGCCAGTGTACGATTTCCCTGGGTGATGTGCATGAGTGACAATTGGGTGTGTTATGGCTTGGCTTCTTAACTTTGGGTGCATCCATACTGCACCGTAACTCGAAATAAGCTACGCAAATTGCATATTGTATTTCGATGCGATTTTGAAACTGCTTTGTTTGGCATTTGGTGTGGTCTACACAGCGCCAAATTTCAAAACAAAGTGCTATTCCAAAACGTCTCTACCTCTGCGTCGAATGAGGTTTACAGGGATGTCAGAATAGCGAGCCTGATATAACGGGCTTGCTGAGAAGACGTGGGATAGCTACGCTCCAGTATCCCAAAATAGCGCTGCAGTGTGGACGTAGCCTTTCAGACCAGCGTGGCCGGCAATAGGAAGGGCAAGTGCCTCCATTTTTATCTAGGGTCCTGCTTCCTAGTTGTGGGTCGTTTTGTGCTGTCGCCTCTTCCTTAAGACCGGATCACAGTTCCAGCTTGGTGGGTTCCATACTCACAATCCTTGAATCAAAGTGAGTTTCCTTTGAGCCCGCCTGCAAGCTACCAAGGATGTCAGGAGATGGTTGTTGCTGGACCTCTCGCATATGATAGCGGTCCAGTTCCTGGCAAGGGGGAGCACGAAGCTCTGCTCGGATGTCCCCAACTTCATACTTACAGGGCTAGACCTGAGACTGAGGAGCACTTAGTGCAGCTGGCCGGTGAGCAGAAAGTGGACCACTTTTTTCACTCCCTGATCTGACCGCCACTCCCAGCCCCCAGGAGAAGTGAGACCAGACTACAAACTGTTGGGGCTGCCGTGGCCATAGTATTTTGTCTGGGTCTAAACCCAGGCATGACAGTGGCCACGGGGCTGTTCCTGGCTGGGGCTGTCTTTCTCTGGCTCGTGTGGTTTTTCTGGTCGGGGGCTGAGCTGGAGTTCAGCGTGAGTCACGCACTGGCAACTTGACAAGACAGCAACTAGGAGGAAGGGCTGGTGGTGGCCAAGTAATGAGCAGAGATGATGCGGCCGCTTGATGCTGGGCTGGAAACTGAGGCGGAGGTGTGCAAAGTCAGCAAACGGGCTTCGCTCCTAATTCCAGGCAGTTCAGCGGGAGAGATGTGGCTACCTCCCCGGCTTGGCTAAGGTGAAAATCTCCACCCAAAGTGTATGACATCAAGGCAAGATCTGGATTTCCTGGTTCTGTAAACCTGGCTCGTCACTGATGCAAGGAAGCAGCAGCCACGCCCACCTGTGACGCGGCAGGGTGAGAGAGTTCAGGAGTGAGCCAGGAGAAAATGAATGCGACGTCCTTGTCTTCATCCTTCAGTGTGTGGGCCTTGGCTTGCTGGACCACACCCGGCTCTGCTCTCAACACAATTGATACCTAGATATCTTGAGACATGGGTGGGAGAACATGGTGTCCTTCTGCTTGGGGCACCTTTCCCATTCCAGCATACACTGTAATTACCCAAGGCGTTCCGAGTATGAGTGTGCTCGACATGCCACATGGAAATATCACATCCAGCTTGCAACACAACAGGGTTGTGTGGCGAGTCACTTTAGGAAGAGCTGGTTTTGTAGGCTCTAGTGCCAGGCAAACTTCACGTCCAGTATAAGACCCTGATTAGTTGCCTTTAGCCTTGCCAAACTGCATCGGTTCTGGCTGAAATTTCCTTTGTCTGCCTCAGGTGAACGTTTTCTAGAGGGGATCAGGAAGTTCAGCTGGCTCTGAGTGAAGTTACTGTAAGAAAGTGGAAACTCAAGAGACTTAATATTTGGCAGGCCGGGTGCCCTTATTGCCAGAGGTGTCTGTGCCTGGGACAATCTGGCCAGTGATAAACTCTTGAAAATCTTGGCTTGCCCACAAGCTCGGAACAGAAAACGGTGGTGACCTCTCTGAAGAGTCTGTCTCGCTGAGCATGCTCCATCAGCTCCCAGCACCGCTCCTATGTACCATCTTGCCTTGGGTGACTCAGCATGCACCTGGCAGACCCACTGGGGCTCAGCGGGACTTTCCCTGCCCCATCTCCTCCTCGCTGCCGGACACAGTGGTGGCGGTGGGCACAGAGCATGCGGGTTCTCTCTGCTCAGGGCTTCTGCAGCTGGTGCTGAGGCAGCGTGGAGGAGGCGCATCCGTGCCGCTTTTGGAGGAGTGAGCGCCATGGCTGGGGAATCAGAGCTCTCAAGGGGAGGCAGCAGAAAGTGCCATTTTGAGGATGTGTCGGGGCTGACCCGTGTCCCTGGGTTACGCGCAAACTTGGAAAACAAAACAAATAACCTGTGGGTTGTGATGGGGCAGCACACATGCCAAGCCAAAGGTGCCGTGTCTGCGGGAGTTAGAAGGGGGGGGAACAAGAAGTTGCAGTGGAAGTCCAGGCATGACTAGGTACGAGATCGTCGCAGGAACAGTTTTGTTTCCAAATTCCAGGAGTGGCTCTTTGATAGGAGGATAGGTGATGAGACTTGTATATGGGCCCAGGCCCCACCAATGTTTAGAAACGGGTGCCAGCTCCACCATTGCTTGGGCTTCTAGTTGTCCCCTCCATAGGACTTTGTAGGGGCCCTGTGATCCATGAGGACATGGGGTCCAGGGCAGCTTGGGAAGTTAGCGAGTGAGCCGGCCTCAGTCTACCCTTGCCCTTCCCTACCTCCACCCCACATCTTTCCAGTGTCTTCCCCTGAGTGGTACCGGGAGGTGGTGGAGGGGCTGGGGCCGGATCGCTTGCTGGACCCCATTCTCATGATGCATGGGGGGCCTCCAAAAGCACAGAGCCAGGGTGGTTGCCCTGGTGTCTCCTGTGGACAGGACGGCTCTGCCCTGCTGTGGGCCCCACCAAAAATTACACAGGCCTGGCACCCATGGCATGTTTCAGCTGGGCTTCCGACCAACGGAGTGGGACTGAGCCGGTTCCCTCTTGCACACCGTGTTCCCCACCCTAGGGTAGCATTACAGAATCTACCAGAGGGCTGGGCTGTCTCTAGATGGTCCCCCCCCCCCTGCCCTGTGTGAGGAGTCTCTCTTCAGTGACTGGACCCTTAAATCATGGAGCTTCTTGGGTTACCCCAGGGCAGCTGAGGGCAGAAGACATTCATGAGGAAATCCAGGTGTAACTAGTGTTGTGCAGAGCCTGCCCCTGTTCTAATGCGCTCAACCGCACTGCCTTGGAACT